AAGCAAGGAGGAAATTTATGTCACGTTCATTACCTGTTAAATGTTAAGGAGCATTATCTTGCATGAATAAATTATTTCATACAAGCACACAGTCTCCAGCTGCTGGCAACTGGCACATTGTAGCTGATAAAAAACCATCTCAAGTCACACAGCAGACAATCATAAAGAGCCTTTCTTAACCAGGAGCCACTTAAGAGAGGGCAAATCAATAGAACAAGCAACTAACTGCTACACTGGGCACCACGGATAACGTTTAAGGAAATTAGCAAACTATTTCACCTTGCAAAGCTGGCAACTTGCCCTGGGTGCTGACACAATCCCACTTGCAACGTGAGGGCTGGACAAGACAAACATTTATCTGTAGCCATTGCTGCTGAATAAATCAGTACAAAAAAAGAGTTGGCCCTTACATGCTGTTGCGCTAGATGCCTACCTAATGGCTCAGGAAAAAAACAGAGCAACCCAAAATAATTGTAGGTGAATTCATCTCCTTTACTGAACAATGACACACCTCACTGGTTAATCTTTGTTGCCCTTTCTTCTGCAGTTTTTAAAGCAATACTGGCCAGCAGACAAGATAGCTTACACACCGTTCATATGAGGTTTGTTAACATGCCATTCTCAGGTTGATGAGCAGATCCCAAATCATGTCTAACCAGAAATTGTCAGTGATCCCTCACTAAAACAAGAAGCAACTGATAGTACGGCAGTTTATTTTAACAAGAAGAGTGTTTTGGTATTAACTAATGCACTCTCTTAGATAATGCAATGAAAAATCATACAGAGAAAGGTAGGCTTATCTCCACAATAAACTACTTTCTGTGGTAGGTTGACATAACTCATGACTCACTTAAGCCCAAGTAGCCATCTAGCCATGAAACCTATGCGGCTGTTGCTCAATAATTCTGCAGTTTGAAGCATAAGGAAAACATGGCTTTATTAAGTTTTAAAAGGATTACAGTATGCCCTCTTTTGGTACTGTTACTGCTTTATATATATATTAGTATTGGATGTACCATACTTGTTAGTTGACTTGGGCACTATTGAACAGAAAGATGGAATTCCATGACTGTAAAATTAATCTTTCTTTTTTTTTCTTTCTTTCTAGTAGGATTCTAGACCTCAATATCTGAAGCATGTGTAGTGCCAATTTCTTTAATCCACAGAAGGCCAGTTCTAATACCAATACTGTGTCCAGTGAAGATGACTCCAAATGGAAAGCTGACAGCTCTTGTCAGTTTGCAGATGCTAAGAACCCTGAAGGTAGCTGCAAAAGTGAAGAGAACAATGTCAATTACACTTTGTTGCAGCATTACAGAGCTGTGAACAGTACCAATAGAGCACTAAGATAAGGATTTATCATATTTTTATGATAGGGTTACCAACGTGTGATACTAATTCTCTATCCATCAACGTGAACTTGCTATTTCCTATCACTACATTAGGCAAAAGGAGTCTGGGATGAAAATCATATATCTCAATTTTCTTCAAGAAAATCGTATTTATATTTCCCAAATAACAATAACTTTTACAATCCACATTGGTGGACAGATAATGAGTTATTGGTATTGCTGTTGCTTTTACTAATTTTTGATATACCGTACTTCTTAGTTGGCTTGGGTACCATTAGACAGAAAGATGGAATTTAATCTCTGTAAAATTAATTAGCCCTTTCTTTCTTTCTTTCTTTCTTTCTTTCTTTCTTTCTTTCTTTCTTTCTTTCTTTCTTTCTGGTAGGATTCTAGACCTCAATATCTGAACCATGTGTAGTACTGATTTCTTTTATCTACAGAGGGCATTTATATTACCAACACTGTGCCTTCAAAAACAAAGGCCTAGCCTAATCACTGTGACCCAGGTCTTTTTAACACTAGACTGAATTCTTTTATGTGGTAAACTTTTTGAAAAATGTTTGCAGCTTCAACAAATCCCAAATATAGTAGTTTGATCTCATCTTGATGGGTCTTTGGTATACACTGGGGTTAGGTTTCAGGACTACTACTTCCATCCATGGATATCAAAATTTGTAGATACGGGGGAGGGGGGGGGAGGGAGACAGTTGTATTCTTTTATGTTAATTAAGTTTCTCTGTAATTTATTTTTCTCTGTAAAATCAACATATTGTCCACATACATAAACATGTGATATTTCTTTCTTTATGAAGAGCCCAGACACTGAAACATGGGATTATTTTGGAATACTGTTCTGTCTATACAAAAAGAAAAATCTCCCAACCCTCAAATAGGAAGCATCCTTTGTAACAAGGGCTATATGTCAGTCCAAAAAAGGATAAGATTTCCAACTCTAAATAAGGGACACCTCGCAATCCTACTCCAAGTAAACACATGATTCTTCTGTTCAAAGAACTATACTTACTTACTCTGAACTAATTTAAAGGCCCATCTAAAAGTTGGGATGTCTTATAAATGCTAGGTTTTTCTCAATGTGTTGTCATTTTCACTGTATTTGTTTTAATTTTATTTTTAGATAATTTGACTCTTGCAGAGGTAGGGAGGATATAAATTACTTAAATCATCAAGGTATGGACTTCTAGTCATTAAAGTGCAACTACTGATCAGCATAGCTGTCAATGAAGAATAATGAGAATTTTAAGCCAAAAACAGAAAAAAGAAATTTTGAGAATCACAAGGTGTTCATCTGTTTTAAATAAGTGATTTTGCCAAAAATCACTTAATATATTTTAAAGTCACAAACCATTTTGACCAGAATACCTCAAGAATATTATATGTCAGCTTTGTCAATTTGGTGCCTTCAAGATATTTTGGATTTAATTCCCTTGTCACTGGCTATGTTAACTAGGGATCAAGGTAGATGTAGTTCAAAACATCTGGAGGGCACCAACAAGTAGGGGAAGGCAGTTATGGATTTTTTCCCCTTTCCCAGGCACTGAAGTCTACGGGGCTATGTTTGCCATCCTGTTACCAACTGTGATGAGAGCTTGACATTCTCCTTTTCATGGAACTCCTTGTTAAATTAGGGGTGGGGGGGAGGTAAGAAAGAGTTACACCTTGACAGGTGAAGTCAATACATTCTGACATGAGAAGCTGGTCCTAATTCGTCATGTTCTGGGCTAGGATTCAACTAAGCCTTGGTGGCTAGCCCCCAAAATGTTTGCAAGAATATTCTCTTGCCCTGAAGACATGAGATCGATAACTAGCTGATGGGCTGCTGCTGACTTACTTTCTCCAACATGGAGTAAATGAGAGGCTGTGGAGGCATTTCAGTTTTCTCTGCCCCTTTAGCTGTTTCTGTTGTTGTTGGTTCACAGTAATTTATTGCACTATGGATAGGCTACTGTGAAGTTTAGTCCATCTGTTCTCGCTTTTTATCCTTAAAGCTTTCAATAATTTTACTGTTTGTTCATATGAGATGCCAGTTAAACTACACCCTATCTTCCTAAATTGGAGAAACTGCGTTTTTGAAAATAAAAATCAAATAACTGAATTTTTAGGTTTTTTAAACCAATTCTAGTATTTTATTTTATGAAGTATGCTGCTGCAGAAATCTGTCTTACTTCCTGCTTGATAATAGATTAATGGTCACATTTTGGATGCTATTCATACTCAAAGATCTTGAAAGGCCATGTTGCGGTATACTTAATTTGTGTTAAAATATCAAAAAGCCCCTAGGCACTAACACTAATTCCAGTGAAAATATTCATTACTAGGCTAAAATTATGGAACCAACTCTAGACAACAATTTAACAGATGGGGGATAAGTCCATGGCATATTTCCTCTGCTACATCAAACTCTACAGAGCTGCTACCTGTAATGAAGTACTGGTTGGGATTTGGAGAAGGAGAAGAAGGGAAAATACCATGACTGTTGTGTCCCCTGGAAAACAGAACTTATTTTGAAGGGGTTTGAGGATATCAAAATTCATCATTTTAAAAAAAATCTAGCTTGGGTTTTTGGGAAGAACAGCATGCTAACTGTCAAAAATCAGTCAAAAACATATCTAAATATTATTCACAGGCAGACAGATTATTCACCAACTGTTAATGTTTTATTATTGTAAGTGGTGTTGACAGAGTACATAATTGATTTGTATCTTTTCTTCCTTCAGTTAAAATATGACATGACTATCCTTCATCATCACAACAACCTGTAAAGTTAGCTGTGCTGTGAGAGAGTGGCTGGACCAAGGCAATGAGTTTAATGATTCAGTGGGAAATTCAATCTGGATCATCCAAGTCCCAGTAGGAAAGTTCTCTTTCATGGAAATATGACATTTTGTGATTATGTGGTTTGGAGAAGTGATTCCTGTCCTCTGTTGTAGAAGCATGGTATGACCATACTTTCTAACATGTGGTATGAAAATTATTCCCCACTAAATGTAGTCTGGGAAAAGTCTTTCCGGATTTCATACACTCACAGAGAGTGGTCCCAACATATTCACAGTTATCCTCACTCTCAAGGACAAATACTTCTTTTTGATATATTCAGATACTGCACTTGGAAGAAAAAAACCCAACTGTCACTTCTCACCCTGCCAGAGAAGAAAAAGAAGCCATATTTTCAAGTGTATTATTTGTGGGGGGGAAATGGGGCTGGGAACAAAATACCTTCGTAAAATCCCAAAAGGTGAAAAATTAGCATCTCACACTCTTGCTTGCTCTTGAAATTTGCCAGCTTGTGAGAACACACACAAACTTGTGAGCTCAAGAAAACAAAATAGGGGACTTGTACTCCAATTTTATACTGATTGGCTGAACTCTTGTGTTAATCTATAATAACTATTATCTGTAAGAGCCTTGTCACATGCCACTCAACAGTGCGAAAGCATTTGTATTCTAAGCAACAGAGTTGTGTACATGGTACGGCACTTGTCAACTGTGTAGTGCTAACTCAATACAGTCCAGCTGAGACTCTGCTAATCAATACCCTCTGGTTATAACTGCAACATTTTAGTTCACTACAATATAATACATTGCAATACATTTAAAGCTACTCCTTCCATCTGTGAAATGGAGTCTTACCTTTATGGAGTCCCTGTCTTCATGCAGAACATAAGCACCAACATGAGAGAAGCAGGGTGGAGGGAGGGAAGGAGAGAGAGAGAGAGAGAGAGAGAGAGGTTATTTTAGAAATTTAAGTAGAGCTTCATAGGCTATCTGCTGAGACTGAAACTACATTTTTGTCTAATGGTGTCAACTGATTTTTCCTTTCCAGAAAATTCCCCAGACCATCAGCCAACTGTTTACAGACTTGATCAATCAAGGGACCACTACTTTCCATAGAACTTGAGTAAAGTATGGACAGTTGGGATGGGGGAGTGAGGAAATAAGAGAGGTAAAGAGGGAAGGCAAAGGTAAGGAAGGAAGAAGTGCTTCAAGCTTGTTTACCTAATAGATTAGGGAGACAAACCAGAAGCACACTGGCAAAGACAAAAAAAATCCACCTGAGTATGGGAAAGAAATGATCTAAAGGAAAACATGTGGTATGGCACAATATATCCAGGAAGAGAGATCCATAGATTGTGGAGAGCAGAAAGAGAACTGCTGGGGAGTTTACAAAAGCCTTTCGGTGAATTGAGTGTGGCCCATGAATTCAGAATCACTGATGGTATCTCTTCAAAACCCACAAAATTTGCAGCCTCCTACTGCATTCTTCTCACGAAGGGACAGCTCATATACTTGAAAAGCAAGAGAAACTTGCTCTGAATCCAGCAAAGAACCTCCTACCTCTTTGGTGATCATTATCGTGATGTTTCTTTTCATCTTTGATTGGAAGATGGGACTGTCCCCCGAGGGCACTTGACAAGGCTAAAAGGCCAGCACTGCTGCCAATGGGAGGGATTGCTGGTGGCTGCAGTCCTGAAGGGTGTGGAGTGAGAGGCACTGGGAGACCATGTCCATGTGATAAATGCTGGGCCTGGAGTTGCTGCTGCTGTGAAAAATGAAGACACAGATATTGAATATGTTCCAAGAAATAGTGTTTCAAAGCATATTGAGCTCTGCCCTGCATTGTGTATTTTCAAGGGTTGTCAACCCATCAATGGCCCCACTTTGCTACAAATTAATCCCCCAGGTATTGTTTTTGTTTTTTTAAAAAAAGATAGAAGTGCCTCAGTGAAAACAAGGAGAATATACAATAAATGAATGGGTTTGAAGAGACCAATAATTTACTGTTTGGAAAAACATCTTAACAGGCATTGTTTTGCTTTGGATCAAAACTGGGTTGGAGGGTGAAGGCACCCCACAATTATTAAACCGTTTTCTATAGCAGTATCCCAAAGTCACTGCTTCACACACACCCACATCTAAAGGATAACGTTTAAAAGTATAACTCTGGCATTATACTTGCAGGAGATACACATAGATATCCGCATCTAATCAAAACATGTGAGTTAAGCATGAAAACAGTAATAAAGTTTTGTTGCTGCTTTTTTTTAAAAAAAAAGGAAAGCTGAAAATTGAGAAAATTAGTGTTAAACAGTTCTCCCAGAGCTGCCACACAGCATGCAGTGAGAGTTAATTTGAAAGAGGAAAACCTGAATTAACAATCCAGAAAAGGAAACTGGTTGCAGCCACCGTTTTAAGTCCTTTAAGTGTCCTCAGCGGTACTTGAGCAAATTACTAAAGAAAATCTAATGTAGCAAAGCTTGGGTCCTCCTGTAGGCTTGCTCAATAATGCTGAAATAATTGGGCACTCTGTGCACGTTTAGTGATGCTCGAATGAAAAGCTAGAGGCCTGCCCTTGTACTCTTCTCTAGCTGCTGACTCTGTGTTGTGACAGGTTTATTTGAGTGGGACTGTGATGCATGCACCAGTAACTGCGCTGACAAGAGTTTAAAGTCATTTTTACCAGTACGCTGGCAACACATAGAGAAAAGCCCTTGAGAGGTTAGAATTGGAGTGCTTGACCTCAGCTAAGACTGCATCAAGCTCTCTACTATACTAACCATTGTGGGGTAGATGGTTTGTTGATGCTATTGAATTAGAAGGTGTGTGTGTGTTGGGGGTGGCATGGTGGTAGAAGAAGGAAATGTGTCATGCTCAATCTATCCCAACAGGAAATTGTTTCACTTCACATTTGTGCCAACAACCCACTTTCCTCCTCTCTTCCTCTTCTCCCTGTACATATAATTCAGAGAATGATTACAAAACCTGCTTACACTTTCACAAATGATGCCATTTGGACAAACTGATTCTCATTTTACCATCACCTCTCTCATTCCACATACTAAAACGTTTTCAAGTGGGCAGGGGCAAACCACTGCATTGCTAAATGTCAAAAATGCCCCCTTCACATACTTCCCTAGACTTTCCCCTACTGGTTATGTAAACTGTGGTTCTGTAATACTGGTGGATCCTGCTTTTTAATTAAATGAATTATCCAAAAAAGGATTGTATTCATAGGATATCCCGAGACAGACAGACACTGACAGATGGGACGCATTTCATGTTAATTACACCCCAGATGGTAACCTATCACTCACCTGACTAGGTGTACAATACACACAATTCTGAAGTTTTTGAAAGATAAATACGTGTTTTGCTTCTATTTAAACTATTACTTATACTGTAGCCATAAGGGGCATACAGAACCCAAGATTTTGAAAAGTTATTAAAATATTCAAATGTAACACTAGCTCCTTAATCAAAAACCTGTGTTACCAAGACAAAATTTCAGATATAAGAATATTGCTAGTGTTTGTATGCATTTGCATGTGTATATATCAATCTATGAGTGTACTAAAAACAATTATTTAGTCTCATCATATTGTCAGTTTTATAAGGCAAGGGCTATCTATGGAATAAAGTGTTCCTATCACTTTCAACAACAGGATCACCATATACACTTCAAATTCCTTGAACAAAAACCAGACCATTAACAAACTAAGCTTCTAGAGGAGGTTCCGAGAATTACCAAACGTTTTTCCAAACCAGCACTAGCTCTATAATTTCGATACCTATTGACTAGGCCAAGTGTTGACAACATAACACCCCTCATAATTTAACCTCCATTACTATTAGGAGAGGCAAGGCTGGTGGAGATATCAGCAATTGCATCTTGATTATTGCACCACTCCCTTTCCCATCATTGCACTTGAAAGCATGCCGGAACAAAATTCCATATTTGCTAATCTATAAACATGTTCCCAGATAAAATCTGAGAGTTACACTCTCAGTATTACACCTTGGATCCCATCCTGGGAGAAAGGTGGGGTATAAATTGAATACGTAATTGAAATAATACATACGCTTGCCATAATTCCCAGGTATCTTAGGTGGATCACATATATAAAGTACTACCCCTGCGGCTCACTTAATCAGGACATGATCTACCCTGGTCTTCCCTCTTCTTGTGTGTAGTACACAATACACGGGATAGAGAACAGTTTGCAGCCAAGGTACAAAGGCCTTTAACGCTAGAAAGCTCTTGTAGGGGACCAGAGGCCTTGTGCTGTTATTGTTTTTAAGGATTAGATGAAAGGAGGATGACTTTCTCCCCAGCTTCTGACTTCATAAAATATGAAGCTGCCTTGAACTAAGTTGCCACCTTACATTCCAGGTGTGCATTTTTAACAAATTATGCAAATAATGCCATCTAAAACAGAAGGGGTCTATGCACTGTAACAATGGGGATATAATTCTGTATACACTTCTGATTCTCTACAGAAATATGCCAATATCATGTTACATTATGGAGATAGAAGTCGTATCACTAGACAGGACCTCTTGGACAGCACACCAATATATCATATTAATAAAGCATTTAATTATCTTTTAAGAGGCAGGTGAAATTACGGCAACCATTTATGAATTAATTTTCTGGAATCCAATACTTTGATCAAGATTTTCCAGACTAAGGGATATTTCTCACTTTACATATTGTACTCTGATATGGACACCCAAGCCTTAGTTCAAGCAGAACAACGTGGAACTTGGCATGTCTCCTTTTAAAAACCTTGGAGGAAGGAAACCAATCCTTCCAAACAACTTAAAGGACTGTTTCAATGTTTTTCACATTTGTATACTGTGTAATTCATATCCATCCATGACTACCTCTTTTTAATTTCAAAACATTAATTGTAGACACAAGTAGAATAATACAAATCTCAATAATTAAATTTTCACTCATTATACTGTATCCTATTTTCTTAACCTTACCAATCCCAATTCCACACTTGTCAACCACTTGTGCCCAGCAGTTTTTCTCCCTCCCCCTTCCTCCCTCTTCACCCCCCACCCACTAGGAACAGTTGTAACTTCGGTTTGAGTATTATTTGAATTGATAAATCACAAAGAGAGTGCGATTTAGTTCTTTATATTTTCCTTTTTCTTTTACTCTAGATATCAGAGTTCCCCATTTCAAGTCCCAATTCTTCTTGTAACCTGTTGTAAGTATTTCATCCTCCTTTTAAAAACACAATCCCGGAGCATACAGTCTGCTAAATATTCAAACCATTTTTCAATTCCTATTTTTCCTGCTCTTTCCAGCCCAAGGCTACTGTTGCTTGGCCGCTTCTATCTGCCCATTTGTTAGTGCTGCTGTTACCCTCAATTTTTATCTGTTTATTCAGCTCTACTTTTTGCCCTAATTGTCCTTCCATCTTTTTTCTTTATTTTAATGTAATTTTTTGTGTTTTGTCACACTTCTACCACATATGCATAAAAGAGCCAGTTTTGCTGCATTTGCACCAACATAGTTTTGATGATGATTTAGTTATATGGGCTAATTTAAATGGGGTTCTGTAATATTTGGAAAATATTTTCCATTGTATTGCTCTGGCCCTAATATGTTTAATTTTTTTTTAAATTGAATTAATCCAGTGTTCATTGTCTGATTCATTGCAGTTGAAATCCTCTTTCCATATCTCAACTAATGTTTGTTTCAGTTTATAGTTGTTGTAGGTTTTTCCGGGCTATATGGCCATGTTCTGGAGGCAATTTTTCTCCTGACGTTTCGCCTGCATCTATGGCAAGCATCCTCAGAGGTAGTGAGGTCTGTTGGAAGTAGGAAAAATGGGTTTATATATCTGTGGAATGACCAGGGTAATGTTTCAGCTGATCACCTTGATTTGCATTCAATGGCCTGGAAACACCTGGGGGGAATCTCTTGTTGAGAGTGATTTTATGTGCCTGTTTGTTTCCCCTCTGTTGTTTTGCTGTTGTAATTTTTGAGTTTTTTAATACTGGTAGCCAGATTTTGTTCATTTTCATGGTTTCTTCCTTTCTGTTGAAATTGTCCACATGCTTGTGGATTTCAATGGCTTCTCTGTGTAGTCTGACATGGTGATTGTGAGAGTGGTCCAGCACTTCTGTGTTCTCAAATAATATGCTGTGTCCAGGTTGGTTCATCAGGTGCTCTGCTATGGCTGATTTCTCTGGTTGAAGTAGTCTGCAGTGCCTTTCATGTTCCTTGATGCGTGTCTGGGCGCTGCGTTTGGTGGTCCCCTATGTAGACTTGTCCACAGCTTTTTTTATTTTATTTTATTTCATTTTATTATAAATGAAAGACATCAAGCCTTCTCCTTCTCTAACTTCCATTTTAATATCTGATCAAAATGTGTTTCTGGCATTCTGTCTCCTCCACTCTATAATCCCGTGTTTCAAAACATTCCATAACAGCCAATTGCTTTGTCTATACTTGTATTTTATCTTGTCCCAAACATTAATTGTCCCATCTGTGTTTAAGAGGTCGCCAATCAACCTCATTCCACTTTACTTTTAATTTTTAATCATTTTTCTGAGTATCTGTTTGTTTTTATTATCTAATATCCCTATTGGGAGTATATCTTTTTCATTGATTGGGAATTTAATTTGCCATCTTTCCCAGCATTCCATGGAGGAGATCACTGGACCCCCTATAATTTGTTGTAAAATCTTGTTGTCTTCTACACTACTCTTCAAACACAGGCAGAGGTCCCAATCATTTATCAT